GAACCGCACCAAACTTGAGCAAAATTTAAAAAGAATAATTGTTTACCTGTCGCACTTATTCCAGGTAATGTCTCGTCTTCCTCTTTGTTCAAACGTAACCATCTTTCATATGCCTGCAAAGAAATATAAATTTTTTTATTTGAAAAATTCAAATCATCTTTTTTTTAAAAATTTTCAAATGTAAAAATTAAATTACCCTAAATGCTTGCTTAATACCGCCATTATCGGCAATATTTTCCCCTTGCGTATTAACACCGTCAATCTGCATATCAACTTCTGTTACGGTGTAACGTGCATATTGATCTGCGAGAAAGAATATTGATTACAAAATCAAAAACATATATAATCGCCATCCTATTCGCATGTTATCGAAGAAAATTTTACTTTAAAAAAGTTTTATTTTTCTCTACCGATAAGACATTGTGCTCTTTGGTGAAAACCATCGATTGCTTCGTCTTTCCACCATCTATGAAGATTCCCATCCTTGTCGAACAATCTACCTTTATCATCAAATCCATGAGTAATTTCATGTCCAATCACGACGCCAATTCCGCCATAATTTAAACTTCGTGGAAAAAATCTGTGATAAAAAGGAGGCTGCAGTATGCCCGCTGGAAACACTAGGAAAAGGGACAGAGAGAAAGAATAAAAGTTTAAATAATTTTTAAGAAGATTAATTTTTTCTTTCTTAGTAAATAAATTTGCGAGAAAAATAAAAAATATGCAAATATTTTCTAAATGAAGTTAAACTGACTTATTTGATTCTTGTTGCGACTGTAATAAGCGTTCACGATCGCTGGAGCAGTATTCCATAAAGTTTTATTGACAGTGTTGCCAAGACGATTTTGTTCAACTCGAGAAATATGTTGCAAAATATTTAAAGTGTTTTCAAAATACTTATCTGGTCGTATTACAACCTGCATCAAATATATTAATATATTGATTTTTCTCCTTTTTTGATTGAATGTTATATATATATATATATATATATATATATATATATATATATATATATATAGTTCTTTTTTTTTTTTTTTTTTAATTTGATATAGAAGTATATTACATCCTTATAACGTTCATTCAATAGATGTGGCTGTAGGATAAAATCTGGATAACCGATTCTTAGCGACATAGCATTTACTTTTTCAGTTGCCAAACGCTTTGTATCGATGTCGATCCAATTGGTTTTATTAAGTAATTCTCTAAATGATCGCTGTATCTCTCGAGTCATTGATAATGTCTATTAATAAAGAAAAAGAAATAAAGATGTCTTCTCAATTTGTATTTATTATAGTAATGTATGTGTGATATAATATGTATATGTATGTATGTATATTAACCCCGAACCGTGAGAGGCAAAGAAAATGAATATGCAACAAGCAGTTACACAACAAGTTTTTCATTAAAACAATTATGTGTTTTCTTTACATTAATTGATTCGCATTGTTTGCAACAATCACAAGTAAAGAATTTGAAAAATAAATATTTAACAAAATATGTCAAAATACTATCACTTTCAAGTCTTACAATTCGAAAAGTACTTAATGAAAAAATATTTAATTATAATGTTTTGGAAAACTCTTCAAATAAGCTACAAGAATATGCAATGAAAAGTAGAGAATCTCATTTAAGAAATTGAAAGTGACCTTTATGTAACCTTTTAACGATTATTAAGGGTGCAACTAATGACACTATCTTACTATATATTCTCCTCAAAACCATACAAGTTTTGTCTAAAACGTTTTTCTCAAGAATGCTTAATTTTTGAAAGAAAAGTGGTGTACGGGTGATCTCAGACACTCCATATATACATATATTTTTGTTTCTTTAATTTTATGGATAGTTTATCAAGAAATACTTACATCGTTTTTACTATTTTCGTCGAAATATTTTTTGACGAACATTGAACCAACTGCCATACCCATATTAGAATTGACTTGAGTTACACAGTTTTTCCATCTTAATGGCGCTTGCTCTCTACCGAATAGAATGTAATAGAATTTTTGTTTAACCTCCTGGAAACGATCGTCCAGATTGTTCACTCTGTGTCGTACAAATCTCCATAAAAGATAATTCGCCACTGTTCTACAAAAATAAATTGTTAAAAATGTTTTACGCATTGAAAATAGTATGTATATATAGAGAAATGAAGGAGTATAAAATATATCATACTACCTAGGTTGTGTCTTTGAAAGTAAAACAATTAAATTTTGAATATATTGTAATGCGAAGATGATAACTGGCTCAGAAAAATTTACTTCTCGAGTCAAGACGATCGATAAATAACGATGCCAATCAATTTGTGGCACGAGTATCTTGAGTTCACCTATACTCATTCGTTGATAGAGCTCCGAAAAATTTCGTCTTTCGTCAGGTGACGATGTAATCTACAAAATTGAAGACTAGTAATTATAACGTCAAAAATTTAAGCAAAATTATACACATATATCTCGCACGATGTATATACAGGATGTTTCATAATTGGTGGGCAAAATTTCAGGAATGGATTCCTCATGCTTAGAAAAAAAAAAAAAGTTAATCAACATAGGTCCGGAAATGATTAGTTTTTGAGTTAGGTATTAAGATTTTTGTAATACAAAATTTTGTCTCATTTCTCGTCTTAGAAATCCTTTTACAGGCATCATCAATGTTTTTCAGGCCGCAGAACTTGAAAAATATTGTTGATGCCTGTAAAAGGACTTCTAAGATGAGAAATGAGACAAAATTTTGTATTACAAAAATCTTAATAACTCAAAAACTAATCATTTCCGGACCTATGTTGATTAACTTTTTTTTCTTCTCTAAGAATGAGGAATCCATTCCTGAAATTTTGCCCACCACTTATGAAACACCCTGTATTGTACAAATAGTATGTACTGTCGCAAGCTGCGTTTCAAATTCAACTAATTCTTCAGCATGTATGGTCGCATTATCTAAAGATGCACCAAGCAAAGTTGCAATCTTTATCAAATAATCCTTATAAGCTTCTAGATAAACTGCGTTAGATGGTTGAAGAAAATAATCCCTGGTAGGAAGTCCGAGCGACGTTTGATCAACCTGTAAGAGAAATTAAAATAAAATTAACTCAAATAATAATAATTAAACAACTAATATAATGATAACAATCAAAAATTTAATTCTAAATTAAGTTAAGAGCCAATGAAACGCGGTAATTGGAGCTCAAAGAATAATAAAATACCTTTTTCTTTCTTACACTACATGCATTAAACACGAGCGTTTTGAATCAGCTTTTGATCCTTGATTTTTAACGTGACATTAATGTTATGCATTAAAGAGTAAACAATAACATTTCTAATTATATAAATCATTATACAATCGATACGCAAATGCAACTATGCTGTATCTCGCAATAATCTGACAAGCACATTCTCCCGAGCAATTTCACTCATCGTACTATAGTACCAATAATAAATTCACAAATTTTGAATCTTGAGGGAAAAATAAAAATGCAGAAAATTATTGCACAGAAATCAAATTTTAATATTTTAAATAATATTATATAACGAGTAAAAGAGGATGTAATGAGTCAGAGGAGATTCGCTCACCAGATCCCGCGCTTCTTTTCGCATATTCGATGATAATACTGCTGTTGTGTACATACATTTCTGGCGACTTGAGATTCGATAAGATCCAAAACGTTCGTATTTAATGCATTATAACGAGTAATCTGAAATATACTAATAATTAAAAGAAAGAGGAAGGTGTTTTATTTTTTTTACGCTTCAATTATCGGACTTTACTGGCTGTTATTTGCCAATTCTTAATTAGTTTTTTGTAAAAGAAATCTTTCAACATTTGTGACAAAAGAAGACAAGTTGCTTGTTACCTGTATTACGTATTTATCGCTATTTTTAATATCTGGACCCACCCATTCTGAAATTAATACATCATTATTGTACAATCGAAGTTTGGCAGTCAAGAGAAGCCAGTCAAATTTATCGGGGTTCCATTCTGGCCTTAGAATTGGCCAACCACCAAGTTCATCCAGAAGTCGGATAAGTGGCCTTTCCTTACGTTGCTCCAAAATCTCTAGCCACATTCTTGTCATATTAAATGATTCGCGCAAATATTTGTGCAATATCTATACCTACTTACCGTAGTTCATGCAGCTTTGAAACAAATATTTCGCCTTTACCGTAGCATCGTCGGCATCTAATTCATTGACATTATACAATATCGGATCTTCTAATAATTCTTTGAGTACGAAATCCAGCGATTCTCTCAGTATCTCAAAGGTATCATAGCCAGCCTTGTCCTTCGGGATAGGATTAAATTTCGCCCAATTTCCACAAGCATATTGATAGAAATCCTCACACGGATCTACACTTTTATCCATATATTTCAACATTGTTTGTGCTGCGCATTCAATAGAGTCTTTTTATCTTGCGTTACGTTGTCAATGTTTTATCGATGAATATATTATAATAGTACGGAATTATAGAAAAGATATTTTTTAAATATACCTCGAGTTTCTCTGATATTTTCAATAATTCCTTCGCCTTTCCAGAATGTATGAAAATCAGACATTTTATCATCTTCGATAGCATCATGTCCGTCAGCCATTGACAACCATGTTTCGGTGTCATTAGTAGAAATAAAAAATCTATCTTCGTTTCTCAAAACTGATTCCTCTTTCAATTGTTCTTCGACATTTATGCGTTCGTATTTATTAATATAATATGACTCTCCATTTCTTCTGAAATATTAAAAAATTTATCATGATAAGAAAAACCAATTAAAGTTAAAAAAAGAAGACAAAATCAGAATAACGGATCAGTATGATTAAAGTATTACATTGATTTGAAATAATGATGATCGTTTGTTCCGCTTTCATATATATCATCAACCTCTACTTCTAGATAATCGCTTAAGAAATTATCCAGCTTTTCATTCTGCGCGTTGCTCGTTCCGATTATCTCGCCAACTTTTTCCTATATGACATTGATAATAATTGAAATAATATTTCAATCAAAGTAATTACAAACCTCAAATTACCCTTTCATATATAAAATGTATAAAAAGGAAGAGTTGTTGCAGATAAAAATAACCAGCTATCTCCGATGGATTCTATGGATTAATATTGTAAAAAAATATTGAAAGTAGAGTTTCTTAGTATAGCTAAAAAATATTAAAAATACTTTTTTAAATTTCAAGTAAATATGTTTCTGATAATTATAAGATTAATTAATAATTGTGAGATTACTAAATTTCTTAAGTGCAAGATCCATACTCATATACCTTTATTCTTTCGATATAATTCACATTATCTGAAAATATAATTCACATAATCTTTCCGCCATATATTTCCCATCTAATTTTCCCTTCAAAAAAGAATCTGTCAATTTCCTATTAATTAAATGTAACGAGGACATTACTCGATTGTCCGATTCGATGCCATCCCTCGTGTGAGTCTCCTAAAAAGGATCGTCTTCGGAATATTTTCTTGCTCGTACTGTGTATGGATAAATGCAGATTCAAGGATATTCAAGGAAACAAAAGAGAGAGAGAGAGAAGAAAGAATGAGTGATGGATAGATGGTAGAAGAGGGGAAAAAAAGGAAAAAGGAAGATTTCAAATATTTTAATTAAAGATTAAAGTTTAGGACTGTTTTGAATTTGCTTGGAGATAAAGTACCCCATCGATGTCTCTCTTGCGTCGCTGGGATGTGGATCGAAGCCGAGGATGCATGTCTGCGTAACTGTTTATATCAAGAAGTTTATTCAGGAAGTTCCAATCCTCGATTTCTTCAATTCCATGCTGTACGTCATTGTGACTGGTAACTGATAACGTAAAATTAATCATTCACAGACATTCTTCAAGAACCTATAGTTTATATATCTTTTATCTCATATAATACATACTTATTATGGAGATATTCAATATAAAGACAAATCTCTATAATTTTTTTTATGCAATTTATTATAATAATGCAATTTGATATAATTTAATATAATATTATAATAATAATTAATAATAAATTTATATTTTTGTATATGCTATTTCACATATTTTATTTATCATTATGGCAAATAATAACAGGATTAAATAAATTGAAAGGCATTAAGCTCTATATGTATTTAAACAACACAACAAGAAACTAGCGAATAAGAGCCACCGCGGATAGTAATGCGTAAATTTTAATTGTTCGCGATAATTTAAACGAACACGAGACATATACATATGTTTCACTTGGTGCATTTACCAAGATATAGATTTTCATTTTTGAGAATTCTATAAACCCTCTTTACTCCCCTGAAGAGACAGACAAGAAAAAATAACAGGATTAATTAACTTTTTAACTTTGTGTTGCATTATGTCTGCCTGTATGTATGCTGCGCTTGTATATGTTAAATATCTTTATTAATATGAGACAGAATATTTAATTATCCGAATAAATTTGATGTTATCATATAATTGTTAAGTAAAAATTGTAAATTTCTGCATGTATGTAATAACGGAAACTCTTAATTTTATTTCGGCATTTATTACAATTATTATATACTTGTAATTATAAAACTTACACCAAGAGATATCATGTTCGATCTTTGATTCGTTCTGCATTCCATAAGTGGAAAAAGTTTGCGACTTAGATACTTTGGTTGTAGCTTGAAAACGAGATACAGCAATACACGCTATAATAATTAGCAATAATACGGCGGGTATCAGGAGCATTAGTTTGACACGAAAGCGCCATGCTTTACTTTCACCAGTACACCATCTGCATTTTTTGAAAAATTCATACACTTAGTACAAATACGGGAAATTTAATTTGAAATTTGTGACAAAACTTGACACAAACTTGAGTCTACCAGTTTCCTTGTTGATAGCTAATCTACATGACGGACACGGTCCACCACTAAAAGAGTCATCATCGTTAAATTGAATCAAACTACTATCACTTTGCATTCTTCCTGAAAATAATCATATACACAAAAATAAAAATTAATATACAATAAATTGCGTTTATATAGAAATCTGGAGCATATAAATGATATTGTATTTTAAAACTTATCTCATAAAAATTATGCTAACCGAAAAATCGCGCTGAGCAAAATGAATAAGAGACGAGCGAGAAATGAGCTATTGTATATAACATTCAAAAATCGGTTAGTCAGATAAACATAAACATCCTAGGTAACAAACACATGTCGGTAAGAAAATAAATCACAAATTTTATATTTATTATTATTATTTTTATTTAAACATAAATAAACTTATTTCTAATATCATATAAAATTTCAACAAATAATGTCTTCCGTTGCTTGCGTTTTATAAAAATATATTTTACCAATCAACTGTATTATAAAAAAAATGTGTATATTTTTTGGTACTTTAATTACACTCAATTGATATAGCTAATACTTTCACTGTATACTAATTTAATGAACACTTGAGTGGTTAAATAACATGACTCAGGTAGGAAGCACACGTCATTTTGACATTCCAAACTGATCATTTTTCATATGTCGTCAAAATGATTTGTTACATAACTTTATATTTTATATTGATGTTTTATATTGATATTTTATATTGATATTTTTATATTGACGTTTTGGTATAACATGTGACCTATTTTCTTACTATATTTGTGATTTTGCAGCGTTTTCGAATAAAGCAGTTTAATCGATCCGAGATTCTTCTGAAGAATAGAATGGCTGTAATTATTCAATGATGCTCTCGAATCGGTTAATCTACTTTATTCGACAATACTATTAAATACATTATTATGCTTTGAAAAAGGCGTCCACACAAAGAAAATATGGTATATTTGACGTCAAAATGCGGTACATGTCATGACGTCAAGAATCTGTGACATTAGACCGTCACTTTTACGTCATAAAAATGTCAACTCGTGACGTATATTTTATAACGTCAAGAATAGTCAGTAAATGACCAATTTAAAACGTCAAAATGACGAGTGCTTACGACCTAGGAATATACAGTAAAATAAATATTTTCCTATAAAAAGTAAAAATATTAGAAAATTGAAAAAATTATTAGACTACGTTTCGTGAATTTAAAAATTAAAGAAATCAACTATACTAAAATAATAGGAAAAGCTCTATATACTCAATTATTTCATAATCTTACATTATTTCTTATATAATCTTACAGTATATTGCTAACATATATTATTTAAATTAACTAAATTGACGGCTCAAGTATAAAACATATAAATTTAACTAAATAAAAGAAGAAAATTAGACAATATCGAGCCAACGCGGATGTAAGGCGTGAAGCAATAAAAAACTATTTCCATAATCCACACTTTATTGATGATCAATCATACGTTTCGGACTCCTTTCGAGCCTTCAGTGAAATACTGCAAATATACGGGCGGCCCTCGTTTATTTTCTATACCGTTAATGAACGTTTAAAAAATTTTTTTTCTTTTTTTGACGATGGGAGAGTAGACGGTGGGACGTTGGTCAGTTCTGATGAGAGCAATACTGCGACAGTCAATACAGACGACAATACCAGTACAAATAGAATTACATATTTTAATATACCATACATAAAAGACATCTCAGAAAAGTTCAGCATTTGCGTCAAAGATCTAGATATACGGATATCGTATACGGGAATAAATAATTTGCGTACGTTTATAACTGTAGGAAAAGACAAGCTCCAAAAAAATGCGAAAAGCAATTTGGTATACAAAATTAATTATAACGATTGCGATGCTTCCTATAAGACAAACGAGTCGTATGCTAAATACTCGCAAGGAACACAAAAAGAATCGCACTCCGTCTTAGCGAACCATAAATTATTAAACCATGATTTCGAGTGAGATGATGTTGAAATCTTGGATGAGGCACCTTTTTTGAGGAAGAGATTGATATCCGAGATGATACACATTAAGCTTCATAGAAATGCTTTAAATCTCCAGAGCGATACGCTTAAGTTGAGTGATGCCTGTTTGCCGATTATCGATAGTTTTTTCGAAAATTAGACTCATTCGTTGTTATTGGGTTCGTGATGTTTTGTCAACAATATATATAGGTGTACGTGGGTATTCGTTTGACATTCTCGTGCCGTTAATTGTCGGTTAAGAGTTGTTGGACATAGCGAGATGTCCATCTCTGTCGCGTTTATTGTGTTCGAGTAAGTACCGCAATTATAACATATGCATCCGTTAGCGTTGTAATAATTATTAAAATATATTTGATAGTGCATCTTTCCTTGCGTCTTGTACCGTTAGGAGATTCATAAATCGGACGTGCGGTTGAGATGATTACGTAATGTCGAACTGTTTGACTCGTATGTATATTAACAGTGACTTCTTAATTGCTTTTTATATATTGTATTTATACCGTTTTTATTTATTCCCTTTTTTGTATATTTGCAGTATTTCACTGAAGAAGACTCGAAAGGAGTCCGAAACGTATGATTGATCATCAATAAAGTGTGGATTATGGAAGTAGTTTTTTATTGCTTCACGCCTTACATCCGCGTTGGCTCGATATTGCCTAATTATTTAGTTAAATATATTATTTATTGACTGTGATATAAGTGCATAAGTAATTAAAGCTTAATACATAAGTAATTAAAAAATTTAACTTTTAATATATAAGTAATTAAAAATTTTTAATTAAAGAACATAATAATTAATTCTGATGCAAGCATGTATGTAAAAATATATAAAGAAGAGGCCATCCAGAGGATATTTTATGTCTTTTGGACGTCTTTTGGACATCTTTCATGTGTGCTTTTAAGAGTATATTTTAAAACAAATCTCAAATTTGAAAAAAAATAAAGGGTTTACTTTATACACATATATTTTCGATTCAAGAGATTTTTAATCTTTTTACTAGATTAAATTGGCTACTTCTCCTAATCAGATAGTATAAGAAAATATGATTTATAATCTAACACAGAAAAAGCGAACTCTTACCAAATTCTTACAATGAAGATATATATAACTTATTGTCACGAACAATTATTTATCCACTTTAACGAACTTGATGTATGTGGACTGTACTTTTAATAACGTCACACGAAATCTATATCGCGAAAACGAACATGAGATGTAAATACGCGCCAAAGTCGAAGAGACTAGATAGATTATTACGCACACTCGATCAAAGCACGAATATTAATGGAATGGTTGAGTACATGAGCGCTTGTGTATGAGAATGATTCTGTCAAGTAGTCGTTTGTATAAGAGCAATTTACATACATAAGATCGTCCGTGCAACACCAATAGCAAGAGTACAACATTAAGCCAGAGACATGGCTTTATACGCTCACGCACACGGTGAGAAGTTTTACGCGCTCTTTACATTGAGTTTCTCGTCAATCGACCCTAATAACTTGTGCTTATCGTTCAATATCACAATACGCTATATTTCACATTCTACGCGTGACCTCATCATTATTGAGTCCTTTCCGTTGTAACCCCAGCCGTAATTATATTCCCCGTGTATTTCAACTTCTATACAATATTTTTATATGTAATATACATGTAAGCCTAATAAATATATAATATTGTATAATATATAAATACGTTACATGATAAAAATTTTGTATATAGAAATTGAAACGGGGCATAATATATATATATATATATATATATATATATATATATATATATACATATAGTATAGTATACATATAGTAATATATTAGATATGTGTATAATAATAATAATAATAATAATACAGGATATTTTTCTTTTTTATACTATTAAAAATTATTTCTTGAAATTTAAATATTTGAGACATACTGTATTTTGTATCTGTCATCTTTACTCACTTTTAATATCGTTTTCTCCGATGAGATAATCGTCATAATTGGGTAAGATATTCCAACGAAATCTATTACAATTATTTGTGTTAATCTTTCGTGAGATGGCCTTCATATTAGTTATAATAAAAATCCGTCCGTGACAGAATTACGAATGACACAAGGAATTTTTTGCGCATGCGTAAAGTCAAGAGAGTAACGTCCCAGATAACATTCCTTGCGCGCAAAGTTTGCGCGTCTTATGTATATAAACTGTGTACGCGGTTTGCGTGAGTTTTGCCCGCAAGTTGGTTAAGCTCATGTACACCAGCGAATCACATGCAAATGGATACCATATGCTAGCGTTTTGCGTACATATCGCTTATTGAGTTCACGCGCAAAATGTGCTAGCGTTTTACTACCGCTATGACGACGCACTGGGATAGGGTTTTGCTTGCGCGATATGAACCATATTTGTGCGCGACTTGCTAGATATTTACGCGCAAAATGTTTTCTGGGGTGCATGGCGCCAATAATGCCCATATAAAATTGGTTGCATTCGGTAATAATTATAAGCACATCACGTCAAACAATTCATGCATCATGACTGTTAGTTAAGCCCCTTACATAATGCTAGGCAACAGGCAATAAAAATAAGGAATAGAAACTATTCATCAATAAATACGCGGAACAGAAAATATTTATCAATAAGAGCAGAGAACAGATATTATTTCTGTTCTTATTGCCTGTTGCTTAGCATTGTGCAAGGGGTTTTAGTTTGGAAAGGAATCGGCAACATTATTTTAGAATTATGTAAACACACATCTATTTAACAGCTTTAAATGCAATTTGCAAAAGATTGTATATAGACATTAATGTCAAAACAAATGTTGTTGATTCCTTCTTTAACAGTCATGCATAAATAACTTGATTTGATATCTAATTACTAATATATCCCCGAATGTAATACAATTTCATATGTTAAGGCGCCTACTTTGATTAGAGGGTCTCTAATATACAGGGTGTCCCATTTTAATGTCCCACCCCAAATAATTTTCTTATTTTTAATTTTAGAAAAAGATATTTCAGACAAAAGTTGTATGGTTTCAAGGAGAACATAAGGTGGTGTCATTAGTTTGACCTTGAAGAGTCACATGAAGATTACGTGAAGGTCATTTTGAATTTCTTAAATGGAACACCCTATATATTTTTGCATACTTTTGTAGCTTACCTCGAGAGCTTTCCAAAACACTATAATAAATTATTTTTCCACGAAGAACTTTTCGAGTTATGAGGCTTGAAGCCATTTCTTAATTTTACATAAACCATAAAATATTTTGTAAAATATTCATTGTTTGATTATCTTACCTTAATACTTTTATGCACAAAATATAATGAGAGGAATCAATTGGTGTAAAGAAAACATACAGTTGTTTTTAAGAAAAAATATGGAATTGTTAATTACAAATTATAGAACCGGTTGAAATCCTAGTTACTTCTGCTTATGACCAACTTTGGCCGGTATTCATAGTCCGATCTTATATTTGAGATCGTCTTAAGTTCGAGCTTGAAATGCTACGCAGCTATTTGATTGGTTGAATGAGGTCTTAAGTCAACCTCCAAGCAGACTTAAGAAGATCTTAAATATAAGATCGGATTATGAATACTGGCCTTTATCATCATTTCTATCATCTTCTAGGGCCGGTATTCATAGTCCGATCTTATATTTAAGATCATCTTAAGTCTGCTTGGAGGTTGACTTAAGACCTCATTCAACCAATCAAATAGCTGCATAGCATTTCAAGCTCGAACTTAAGACGATCTCAAATATAAGATCGGACTATGAATACTGGCCCTTATGCTACGGCCAGGGTATAAAAAACTGACAAATCATAGTCGAGTATTCTTTCTGCGATAAAAGAATAATCAACTGTGATTGGTCAGATTTCTTATGACTTTACGGTTACGACTAAAATTTTTGTACGTGCAAAGGCCTTATGCGGGGTCTACAATGCGAGTCTCAAGCTGATGGCAGAAAACTAGATGTCTGTCGTAGTCGTGGACGTAAAGTAAGGCAAAGAAAAGCGTATGTCATACAAAGCCATTGTCACAATGACCTTTTGTACGACATACGTTTTTCTCTGCCTTACTTTACGTCCACGACTACGACAGACATCTAGTTCTCTGCCATCAGTCTTCGTTATGTATTATGGCAATGTCACAGTATAAAGGCCGCAGCACACACTTTTGCATAAGCGCATAACCAGAAGCATAAGGAAATTGATTGGTCCCCAAGTATATGCATAAGAAAATGAACCAATCAATTTTCTTATGCTTATAGTTATGCGCTTATGCAAAAGTGTGTGCTGCGGCCTTAAATATATACAGTAGTGTCACTTCAGTGCCTTTGATGTGCTTATGCCAAATCACATGACCCATCGCCATATTGAAAATTGTAACTTAGCGCGTAAATTAGAATTCTCTCTCATAAAATGCAAAGTTATTGTATAAGTGAATAAACAGAATGCAATTGTTTGCATTAAAATTTTTTTAGAACGAGATTATAGCTTTTTAAGTAATGTTAATACATATATTTAAGAGATTAAATAAATCGCATAAACACAAGATGCCTATTATACACATTTAAATATTAATTACCTTCAGACATTTTTATTTTTTCTGTAATTGACATAAAATTTAAATTTTATCTTTATTACTTAATATTTTAATATCACAGCATAACGTGTACAGATGGGGATTGCCCGATTAGACACAGTACGATTAGACACAACTAGAGAACCTCTAGGAGAGAGAATGGACAACTGATCATGTGACATGTGATCAAGTTTTTTCATGATTGGCTGGCAGAAAATGTATCAATTTTAACTATTGCGACGCCAATGCAAAATATGATGACACACAAATAGGTTAATATATGTGTGTCATGTGTGTCCTATTTGTGTGTCATCATATTTTGCATTGGCGTCGCAATAGCTAAAATTGATACATTTTCTGCCAGCCAATCATGAAAAAGCTTGATCAGTTGTCCATTCTCTCTCCTAGAGGTTCTCTAGACACAACCAATTATATCAACCGATGCTAGAGTAACCGACCGATGCCTAGAGTAACCAGCACGATCAAGCACGATTAGCCATCAAAGCCAGTTGTGTCCAATCGTACTGTGTCTAATCGGAGGTGTCTTGTACAGATAGCATGTGACACATACGTAGCGATATTGAAAATTGTACAATTGACGCATGCGCACTCAAAATTGCGGTCTTTAGAGAACAAAGAAGTGCCCCTACTGTATGTACTTATACTGTGGCTATGTTTTATAGGCCGGTATTCATAGTCTGATCTTATATTTAAGATCGTCTTAAGTCTGGTCCGAGATTGACTTAAGACTTCATTCAACCAATCAAATAGCTGCGTAGCATCTCAAGCTCGAACTTAAAACGATCTCAAATATAAGATCGGACTATGGCCGGTATTCATAGTCCGATCTTATATTTAAGATCATCTTAAGTCTGCTTCGAGGTTGACTTAAGACCTCATTCAACCAATCAAATAGCTGCGTAGCATTTCAAGCTCGAACTTAAGACGATCTCAAATATAAGATCGGACTATGAATACCGGCATAGATATCCGTGTGCTATAGCCTTTATGCACGATATATAAGGAAGTTAACAGTCTAGTGTAATATAGATGTCTGTGGTCTAACATAAGGTTGGTCGACATGGTTCCAGTTTTAAAGATGTACAGCCTGCGTAGAAATAAAGCGCGCGTTTTCCAGTTAGTTGTTTAGTTTTGTTTTGTTTGATTTATCAGAACACTTGCGCTGCGCCACAAAAAAGGAAGAAGAAAAAGTACTTTCTCAGATGTTATCTTATGCACAATTTAAAATGACTCTATAATTGCATTTATTAGTAAAATTGCATATTTTCTCATTGCACTGCGTCTGTTAACATGTGTCATTAACCCATAAATATACATGTATTTTAAGTTCATAAAAGAAAAAAGATATTACATTTTTATCGAATAATATTTTCATGACAGACTCGATCGAAGGATATGGATTTAAACGGTTGTTCGCTAACGTGTACTGTTACAATGGAATGGTTAAATCCTCAAGGATCTATCTTAAGGAAAGCAACGCACAGAACGGCATTACTGCGACTGATTCGAAACAATCAGCGCGAGATGCTCATCGAAATACAAGCAGAAAAGGCGAATATATCCACGAAATTACCCTTAAAAAATATATCTGTTTTTAATAAATTTATGACTGAAGGAAAGGCATCTATAAAATTCAAGGAACAAAATTGCACATTGTTCTTGTCGAATGCACCTTCCTCTCAATTAATAAACTTTTTGAAGACTATATTCATCAAGATGACGAATCAAGAAGAAAAGGCGGATCCTCTGAAAGAGAAGCTCTTTGCAAATGTACAACATGGTGGTGTTGAAGATGTTAGTCCATCTACTAGCACAGAGATCAACAGAGCAAAGGAGAAAGCTATGACTATATCGCGTGCAACAATCACTACTCCTTCACCAAGCACCGTTAAGAAGCGAAAATATTTGAGTGATGACACTTCTAAAATATCATCGGCGAGAAAGCTATATGATAATTTTACCACTGGAGAATTAACTGAGGAACAAATTAAAATCTTGAATGCAGTACTTGACGGGAAGAATATATTTTTCACTGGAAGCGCAGGCACTGGCAAGTCGTTTCTCTTAAAGAAGATAATATCAACTCTTCCTCCAGATGTAACAATGGCTACAGCGAGTACTGGAGTAGCAGCTTGTCACATAGGTGGAATCACGTTACATCAATTTGCTGGTATTGGTTTGGGTACAGGTACCAAGGAGAGATGCTTTCAGCTAGCTTCTCGTCCATCTGTAATTTCAATATGGAGAAAAACCAAACATTTAGTTATAGATGAAATTTCTATGGTAGATGGTGAATTTTTCGATAAGATTGAGGCAGTGGCAAGGCACGTACGTAGGACAGAAAGACCTTTCGGAGGAATACAGTTAATTTTATGTGGTGACTTCTTTCAATTACCTCCTGTATCTAAAATTAATGACAGAGCAAAATTTTGTTTTCAAAGTGAAGCTTGGCAACGATGTATTCACTTTAACTTTGAATTACAAATAGTCCATAGACAAAAAGATGAAGCATTTGTAAAAGTATTAAATAGCATCAGGATAGGTAGAGTTACAGATGATATTGTAAATACTTTGAAAGAAACAGCAAAACAACATATTGAAAGTAATGGAGTATTAGCAACTAGATTATGTTCGCATGTTAAGGAAGCTGATGAAATTAATGAATTCCAATTGAATGAACTTAAAAGTGAAACTAAATTGTATACAGCGTTAGATTCTGATAGTTCTATGACATATATGTTGGATCAACAGTTACCTGTACCGGGCAAATTAATATTGAAAATTGGCGCTCAAGTCATGCTGCTAAAAAATATAAATATTAATAGCGGATTGGTAAATGGAGCTCGAGGTGTTGTTATTGATTTTAAAAATGATATACCAATAATTCAATTGTGCTCTGGAGCTCATTACGAGGCAAAAATGGAGAAATGGACTATTAAAACCAGTTCTGGTGTTCTTGTACACAGAAAACAAATCCCATTAAAATTAGCATGGGCTTTTTCAATTCACAAAAGTCAAGGTTTAACTTTAGACTGTGTAGAAATGTGCCTATCAAGAGTATTTGACGCAGGCCAATCTTATGTAGCATTATCAAGAGCTCAGAGTTTACAGAGTTTACGCGTTTTAGATTTTAATAGTCAACAGGTGTGGGCTAATACAACTGTGCTTGAATTTTATAAAAAGTTCAGGAGAAATTTGCAAGAGACGGAGACAATTCCTTTAGGCAAAAAAAGTAAAATAAAATTAGAGATTAATAAAAAATGATAATAAATTTTTTTCTTTTCTACGTACACAATTCATGTGTGGAAATAATTTTTGATACTTGCAAAAAGAATTATGTGACAATTAATTTCATTATAGAAAGTAAAAGTTTTATTTTTATACATACAACAATAAATCATACAATGTGTCAAGTTTTTCTTTTCCTATCCTCTTTATATATATATATATATATATATATATATATATATATATATATATATTTATTTATTTATTTATTTAAGCAGATGATGTTAATAATCGTCGACGGTTATTTCGATGGGTGGTATATATCGCCAGGTATGTCCGGCATTTGCAAGCTCTGAATAAAGTATTGGAGAGGTGGGAACAGATTCTTTACTACTGCATTGAATATCTATTTTATATTGTCCAGCAGTGAAAAATACCACTCGACATTCGTGATAAGCTCTGCCATATTCCTGTAACTATTATTTATTTATAGAATAATAGAGAACAAAACGCGCACGAAAAGAATTGCATTTATAAAAGTTGTAACTTACAGCAGGTAACATGACCTTATTTGTCCCAGCTATGGATAGTCGAGTTTCTAATTGATAATTATTAACTCCATTATGATGATCCTGATAGAAATTAATAGACAATGTAAGATCGCTTAGCGGATGTTCCAGAGCGTTGCACACCCCTACACCAACACTGATGCATTCACCTAAGGCGCACGATAGTTCATCTTGCGCTTTTACAATAGTATCATTTATAGTTATTTCTAAAAAAGAAAAAGTACATTTTTTCTCATTTATTAATTCTAATTACATCTTAATTTTATTTATAGATTGTGTGCATGTATGTGTAAGCAATATATATATATATATATATATATATATATATATATATATATATATATATATATACATACCCCACTGTAAAGGACTCATTCTAACTAAATCTAACATATCTTGAGTTAGAGTAATACCAGATAGGGTTGCTTTCCCTATTGACTCTGTACCTAGTAATTGCCAACGCAAATCAACCAATGAAGCTATATGTTCGGCACATATTCTTTGAAGTTCATTAGTATCACCAGCACCATTTAACTATAAACAAAGAAAATACTATAATATAGTAACGTTATATTGCAATATTTTTTGAAATGTCACTTTTAAAAAAGTATTGTATATTTTATTTTACCATAGATAATTTATTGAGAGGACATCGATCAACTGGAACTGGAATCCTACATGGTTCTTTACCTTCCATGTATATACATTTATTTTGTGTATAATATAATTCCATTTCGTGATTTGTCATATTTGTCACATCCAATACGAGATAAAATTGTAATGGTCTAAAAATTGTTACAAAAAGATTTTTTTTATCAATAAAAAGTACCCATGGATTTTTTGTAAGAAACTAAACTATATGAATAAAAAATATTACAAAATTTTAAGAGATATGTTTGAGTTTTTACTTACGTTTCAGCTGGTAATACATCCCAGTTAGTAATTTGCACACTAGCTAGCATCTCAATGGTTATAAACACGGACGAAGTTCTGCAATAACCAGCTGTTAAGCCTGCACCTCCTGAATATTTTATTCTCAATTGACCCTCAATAACATTAGATGTATGCAAAGGTACTGCAAGTTTTGATAAACGTGAACTTGTTAAGGAAGAATGACCAGAGTGTGAACTTATTCCTGATCTGAAGGAGGAAGTCAGTTCGGATTGTCTTTTCATATGATGAGACGGGGAACTTAATCTAGATGGTAGAGAGCTGTGGCCTGAATGCGACATTAAGCTGTTTGGTTGACTAAGACATGTACTGCTAGTAATATCTGAAAAATAAGTTATCAATGAAACAAAAAATAAAGGAGCTCTAAAATCTGAAAATTATTAAAAGTGATACCATTTCTAATGGGAGATGCTACAAAATCTGTCGCTGCAAAGAGATATAAAGTAAGACTTGCACTATTGCCTGATTGTAAAGGCAGTTGTGTCATTAAGTTCTCTTCACTCCATTTGAAGATTTTACTTTCAGTTACAGCATCTAAAGTAGATTGTACCGACACTTCGACCATCTCAATGGGAACTTGTCCAATATTCGTTATTGTTATAGTACACTCAGCACTATCACAAGCAAACTATGTTTATCAATCTTGCATGAAAATAATAATAACATCAATGAAAGAATTTTTTATTATAATAAATGCGAACCTTTCACCACCATAAAGTGAGATACTCGCGCTGGTAACTATATTGTCGCCTGAGCTGAAACTGGCAGTCTGAGGTAAACTAGTTGCAACATCAATTCTTGGTAAGGCCGGGATGACTTCGACCGTATATTGAGGATGTAACATGCTCTCCATATGTCTCAATCTACAGTTGGATTTAACTCCTAATGTATGTGTACTAAAACCAAGTATCTCCAAATCACCAATTTCCTTGGGCCTGCCTGCTAATGTAACTGCAATTGGCCCAGATTCAGCAGGTAGACTAATACTTTCTGGTATTGATTCAAATACCACACCGCTTGTCAAGAGTCTCATATTAGATACATGCAATTCAAACGGTAAAGGATTTATAAGCTGCATTGATATCTCACAAACATCTCCTTCTACCCATAAATAATCTATTATAACAAAAAACTTCATGTAAAAAGAGACAGAGAGAAAGAGAAATGAAAGCATATCATATTAAATTATTAATGTGTACTACACATACCAACTTTACTTTTCGAAATATTTTTCCGTTCCAACGATCCAAAATTAATTGGTGTAAATAAAAATGGACCATGATCTTCTTTTATTCTTTCTATTTTTTGGGGCTGTAAATGTGGTTGCATGTTTCTCAGAATAAACGATTTTGTCTTTGGTATATTTAATAAGTTAGCTGGTGGTATGACAGTACCAGAATCTAAAACCTGTTATAAATTGTTGGTATTGTTTATTTTATACAGTTAATTATATATGTGACATCTTTTTCTCTATTAGAATCTTTAACATACAAGAGGGACTGGTGCACCCTCACACTGTTGAGATACATTTTGAAGTTGTAATGCGATATCTTTTCGTTCAATAGATGTCAAGTGATTGTACATTGTTTGAAGTAGAAATGTTAAATGCCTTGTAGCAAGTGCTGGATTACCCATTCGATTTGCAGCAGCAACAAGTTCATTTATTATTTGAATCTGTATAGCCGGCCATCCTCTTTGTCCATCTGTGAGAGAACATTATTAGAAAACGTTATTAGGATTCATGAAAATAATATTACACAATTTTTTTATCAATGCAAATATTTATGTATACATGTATATGTATATATATCTGTGTGTGTGAGAAAATTAATATATGTATTTTATTAATATTAAAAACAGTATTTACATTTTTTGCATTTAAATTAAAAAATATGATAAAACTAGTGTGTAAGCAGAATTTTTTTTTAAATAAAAAAGTTTTATGAAATTTCATGACCAATATGTGTATAATAATTATAGCCTAATAACCTGGTGACATATCAATAGGATCCAAAGATAATTTAAATCCGGTTGTAGCTTGTAACATCAAGTTGTAACATTGCTGCCAATCTGGATTAGGATTATTTTGTGATACATGTCGAGTGGCAGCTAATCGTAAACAAAATGAAGCTTTTCTATCAAAACCGAAGCTTGTATATAAATCTGACAATGTAGTGAATCGGTCAATCTGAAATGAAATGTGTTATTTATATAATAACTTTATGCCTCCTTTATATCTTGCAAGTGTCTACAAATTGCATAGTATTATCATCACATACTTTTTCTTGCTCGCTAAGAGGCAGATTAATCAATACAACATTATTTAGATAGGATGCAGCTTGTAAGGTACAGTTTTGCTCTATTGAGATTCTTGTAGCTTTGAAACTAGCTTCAGTTTCAATTATACCTGCATATTGATATTTACTATAATGTACAATGGCTTCACGATATTTCTTGGATATCTCCTCTGGTAATAAAATATGTGGCATGCTAGCCTTTACTATTTCTATACTAGGGGGAGATGGCAAAACTGTAGCAATAGCTTGTGATCCTCGTCTACAATGTATTATTATTATTATCATTATTATTAGATTCATCAGCTTACATTCCAAAATCAAATAATAAAAGTAGGAAATGATGCATGTATTTTAATTATTTATCATAATAATTTTATTTATTTTAATAATTTAATAAAATATTGCCTTTTAATAACAATTGACAAAGGCAAAGAAAAAGAAAGTTTTATTTCTTAAAAAGATTATGTAAAATTTTTTACTTCAAAAGATTAGTCATACCTTTGCTTACTTGGACTTCCTTCCTGTAGAGAGGAATTTCTTTGCAATGGAAGACTTCGGCACATATTAGGATAAAGAACTAATACCGAAGCAGCACAAAGACCTTCGTATGCTGCTCCCAACCACAGCCAATCATTAACCGCTTGCAAAATGTTGGCTGCAGAATTATAATTATTCAACGCATCGGCTGGTAATCCAGCTTGAAGACACAAATCTCCTAAATGCTTCGTCATACGGCCCACACATCTTTTCTTATTATTTCTAGATTCGAGATCCAGTCCTATAAAATCTTTCTTTTCAAATGGAGCCAATAGAAGAGAAACACGATCTATCTTTTCCCTAGAACGTTCCAATCTTTTTGATTCTAAGATCCAAAATAGAAAATTAAGATATTCAGCTATTTGCGTTTCCAGATCTGTGCATGTTTCGTCTGCATAGAAAATTGCCCGCGTTTTAAAATTGCTGGGCGTAGTGAAGCCTGATGGTGGCTCGTGGCGACCATTCGACTCGATTGGGCCAAAGAGGATAGCTCGCGAATCATATAAAGTGTTGCTGTATTTTACTTTCAAGGTCTCGTGCACTCTACACAGCTCGTTCAATTCTGCTTGATTATCGTACTTGCCAAATGTGATCAGACCTAGCAATCTTCTATGAGTTTGAAAATCCCCCCAGTCGTTGTTCTCCACGGGATGTTCCCTGACGAATCTAGCTAGGATCTCCCGGGTGCCGCCACTGGAATCAGATACGGAGAATCTGCTACCAGCTTTAATGATCCTTTCACATAACCTACTGACTGTCTTTGGCTTGATTTGTATACCGATGGGTCTCAATAGCAACAACAAAGCAGCGTGATCATGAGCGGTTTGCTCGTAATCGGGATGAGACATTTTGTTGTCGGGCACCGGGCTCGACAAAATAACGCTGATGGCGGAGCGCATTTATCCCATTGATTTGTTCAAAGGTACCCGATTAGTACCTAGATAATGAAAACCAGTCCAATTGATTTTTCCCCCTTCATTTCTTTCTGTCGTCAAATATAACGAAAAACACGATGTTTTGTTTATATAAAGAACAAAAACCTTTGTCTTGTAACATCAATAACGTTAATCTTGTCAGCGGTGAGCGGTTTATAATATACATATAGTATATAAGTTTGTCTTTTAAATACACTCAAAAGATATTACGTTTCTTGTATCATTTGTGATGCATTTCTACGTGTACATCTGCGAAAGTGACTGACATTGACGAGTCTAATATTTATCAGCTGATGGCTGATAGTTATATGTCATGTGATGTTGACTGCGGTCAAGACTGCACTATGAATGCTCCGAAACATCATTCTATCTTTATTCTTATGGAATATAGAACAAAGATAGAATGATGCTTCAAAGCATCCAGAGCGTCTTCCCGACCACAGCCATTGACGTTTTAACTGTCACGTGATTCGAATGGATTCGTTTCGACGATAGCAATAATTTAAACTAAACACAATATTTTTTTCTAATTTCCGTGTAAAAATAATATTTCTTTTTTCAGATATATGTATGTATGTATGTACACATACACACACATGTTTGAAAAAAGAAATATACAATATTTTTTTGCTAATATCTTTTATAGTTATATCTCACGTTTCTTTTCTCTTTCTCTCTCTCTCTCCCCCCCCCTCTCTCACGCTCTCTCTTTCTCTAGAAGTAAAAATAAACTATATAAAAACATCTGATAATTATTATTTCAATATAAAAGCATGATTTTAAGTCATAAATATTACATTTTCTCAAGTGATTTAATTATAGTGTAATATATATATATATATATTTATTTATTTATTTATTTATATATTTTGTTTCATTAATGGACGGAAAACTTTAACGAGAAAAGGAAAAGAAAGAATAAATGATTTAAATTTTTCCATTTTTATTTTAAACTTTATAAATTTATTTTTATCGGGTGTGCGTGTGTGTGTCACGCGCGCGTGTGCGCACGAGCGAGCGAGCGTATGTATATATAATTGTTTATATAAAAACATTGTAAAATGATAACAAAAAGAAGACTATCAACAGTGGATAAAAAGCACAACTTAATACCAATTGATGGAAGCGGCTAGAAGAAAAATTAATATATGCATGTAACATGGCGTTATGTGCGCTGCTATTACACAAGCAGAAATGAAAAGTAGGGTAAATCAGTGACGGATTAATATTTCCTGAAAATTCGAAATATTATTTTATGTACATATAGAATTTGTAACATATAACCTAAGTTTGAACATTTAGAAATATTTATTGAAGATTTATATCATCATAATCATGAAATTTTGTGATATTACATGATATTATAATTACTATGATGTCATTTTATTTTTCATAAATGATCAATATTGATTGCTGTAATTGTTGCTTTACCTATATTAGTAAGTCACATATCTCTAAAATCTTAATATTATATATATATATATATATATATATATATATATATATATATACAGGGTGAGTCATTTTAATCAATACACTCGAATATCTCGAAAACAGCACTCTTCAGAAAGAAATGTTTCAAACAAAAATTGTAGGGTGTGAAGGGGGAAATGAGATGGTAGCATTGGTTTGACCTTGGAAAGTCATTTGAAGGTCCCATAAAAGTCACCTTCAATTTCTTAAATTGAACCCACTATTTTTCATTACATATTCTTGTAGCTTATCTCGAGAGCTTTCCAAAACACTACAGACAAATGTTTTTTCATTAAGTACTTTTTGAGTTATAAGGCTTCAAAGTTTGCAGTACTTCGATATAAAATGCAAAATATCTCGTAAAATATTTAGTTTTCGGTAGTCTTACCCTAATACTTTTATGCACAGGATAATGAGACAAAACTATTGGTGCAAAGAAAACGTATGATTGTTTATAATAAAAAATGTGTAATTTGCAATGCATTTTTTGTTATAAACAATCATGCGTTTTCTTTGCACCAATAGTTTTGTCTCATTATCCTGTGCATAAAAGTATTAGGGTAAGACTACCGAAAACTAAATATTTTACGAGATATTTTGCATTTTATATCGAAGTACTGCAAACTTTGAAGCCTTATAACTCAAAAAGTATTTAATGAAAAAACATTTGTCTGTAGTGTTTTGGAAAGCTCTCGGGATAAGCTACAAGAATATGTAATGAAAAATAGTGGGTTCAATTTAAGAAATTGAAGGTGACTTTTATGTGACCTTCAAATGACTTTCCAAGGTCAAACCAATGCTACCATCTTATGTCCCCCTTCACACCCTACAATTTTTGTTTGAAACATTTCTTTCTGAAGAGTGCTGTTTTCGAGATATTCGAGTGTATTGATTAAAATGACTCACCCTGTATATATATATATATATATATATATATATAGAGAGAGAGAGAGAGAGAGAGAGAGAGAGAGAATGAAACAATAGTACTTTCATCTATATGTAGTTTTTCAAATTTCAATTAATTTTATCTTATTTCATAATAATGACTATGCAACCAAATCTAAGATGTGGTAAGTTCGATACGAATCTATCTTATATCGAATTAACGTCGATTGACCCAGCACTGTGCTGTGTAGCAGCAATGTAACATAGTGGGAGAGAAAGAATAGAGAGCGACTTCAAACTGTTTATACTGTAGGTAGTGCGCAGTGGTAAAAGCCTCTGTACGCACGGGCCGTGGTGAACATACAACAGGTGTCCGGCAATCGGCTTTACTGCGATACCGGTTCGGTTCTCCATTTTGCTCCCCCATCTGTTTACTCCTCTTCGCCTTTCACTCCACGACGAGTGAACAGAAGTAACAGCCGAGCCTGGATGCGAGCGTGCTGAACCTAAGTGTCCGGATCGGCGTAATATGATGTCGGAGACCGTAGTGACGATGGATGGTTCTAGCAACAACGCCAGCAATAATCAGCGGCAAGTACCGACGGTGAAGACGGAACCAGGTCAACCGAATCCCCTAGCCAGCATCAGGCTGAATGCGGCTTATTTCAAGACCATACCCGGTATCCTTAAGCTAGCGCAGCTGGTAAGCACACGTTTTATTTTTCGCTACCTATTTGATCCGTCGTGTATAAATGTCAAGAGATGAGAGAGCTAAATATGTTCCCGTGCTAATTTACATACTAAACTAGTATATCTAGTTTGATAATAATTTGCAATTCGATAACAAATTTGAACGTTTTTCGAAATAAAAGAAAGTAATGTTTTCGGAAAAAATTATTGAAAAAAATCATACAATAACATGACCTTTGCTGCCGTATTACTTACTTTCGGCATAAAATAATGTAAGTTACAAATAATATATAAATACAGTGAATAAATGGTAATCATTTTTTTAATAATTTTTATTTTACATTACTTAAAAACAATAATAAAAAACTATAATGGAAGTTAAATTTGATAATATTTGTTGCGATATTATTGAGAATATTATCGCGAATATAGAAAAAGTAGTGTGATACTAATATATTATTTCGTACAGTTGAGTACACAAATATCATTACACAATCATACACAAATATCAGAATTATATAGAATAAAAATTAAATTATATATACAACATTCTTTAAAAATTATATATATGTATATATATATATATATATATATATATATATATATACACACACACACACACACATACATACATACATAATAAATATAATTTTAAAATTATATATATATATATATATATATATATATATATATATAATTTTCAAAGAAATTTAAAAGATGAAATCTTCTTGAATGAAATCTTCTTTTTGGATTTGATTTTAGTCAATTAAATAAATCTTAAAATTTCTTGATGAAATTATGCATGCGTAACCGCAAATTGTAGAACTAATATTAAAAATATTTAACAATCTTTTCAAGATATATATTATAAGGAATTATTATAGAGAGAGAATACTTATCTAAAAAATATAATATTTATTAATCATTTGAGAATAATGTAATCTAGATAAAAAGTAGAATTATTTCTCTATATAACAGTATGTTACCACATTGTGTTATTTACTGTTTCTATATATTTCTTAATTCATAATTTTTTAATTCAAGTAGATTTTCTATTTTTAGCTTACATCTAGTTTACAACAGATTTGATACTTATCACGTAATAGTTAATAATAGAAGATTTTAAGGTCACTTGATGTATATTTTTGTAACAATCTTTGTTACACTATAATAGATATATCATAAACTGATCTCAAAGAATCAGAAAATTAACGATCTCATAATTAATTGTCATCCTGCTTTTCCATTTTTTTCACTTTTAAATAAATGTAAAACATAGATAATTCAAAATGTATATATATATATATATATATATATATATATATATCTTTTTATATGTATTTTGATGATTATATATATATATAACTATTATACTTTACATTTAATGTTGCCAATTGGCAATACTTCATTATTAAACATATGAAATTCAAGATTAGAGTGCTCGACACGAGAGTTTCTCGTTTTTGTTTTCACATATTTTCTCTCTTCATTATTACATTTTAAAATATATCGCTAAGTATTAAATCATCATAAAAATTTTCATATTGTTTTTTATAGCATTTCGCAGTCATCGGTCGACAATAATTCAAACAAACGAGGAAAAAGAGAAGTGATTTTTAGAAATGATTTTCTTTCATTTATACATTTAAAGAGATTTCATCTTTCACATAGACGAAGTAATGTTACATAATGCTACATCTACATTATTATTGTTTATTTCAATCGCAATGTTATACTTTTATAGTGATCGTATTCAATCAAAAATCAAATTTAAAAATTCGGTCAAATTAAAATTTGACTGATTATTATATCACAATATACAGAGTATTCACATAATTCGATAAACGATATTCCTCTTGATTTTTTTAAATATTTAATTCTATATTTTTCTTCTTTGTACGTATTAAATAGTTTTAATATTGTCAATTTTCTGTAGAGAAAATCTTTTTTTCTATGTAATGCACTTGATGCATTTTACTAAAATAAAATTAAAATTTGTATTGTATAATAAAAATGAAATAGAATAATTCAATACACAAAATTGTTTATTGCCGACAAGGAAAAATCTAAAAGTTAATGTTTTTATTGTGTGTGTATTTTTTGCAATTAATTCAATAATGTTGCCAATTCAATTATATCACTTAATTATTCGCGCAGATTATTGTTTTCTATGAGTCCAATTTCTTTAGTCTTGTTATCTATGATATCTATTAAAAGGTTAACAATATTTGATGCTTTCACTCGTTTTCAGAATTAAAATAATATCGTTTACACTTAAGCATCACTTCAATAGCAGAAATATGCCAAGGACTAATCGCATACCGCCTACTTACCTTACGAACATATATGAAGTATATAATCAGAATTGTTGTGACTTTGATAACGTTTTATGTTCTTATCTTCTGCACAATTGAATTAGAAAAAAATTTGATTAATTTATTCAATTTGAACCACGGTACTCTATGTAAAAGCTTTCAATAATCTCGATCTAAATATTTGTCTTCAACCGCGATGATTATAGAAAATAATTATCACCAATGTGAAATTCGATTTGAAGAATCTATAAAATACTTTTAACAATTATTTTTGCTTTTTTAAATAAAACCTTATATGTTATAGTTTTTGATAGAGCGAACAAAGTTTAATATTCTTTTAATTGCTTTAACAAAATGTTTGCATGCAATTTCCAAATTATCGCTTGAATATTTGTTTAAGAGAAAAGATGTGTTTAATTCTATTTTTTTACTTTATATTTTTGTTGTGCCTTTTTTATTTTAATTACAATTAGTTATTTATTGCTGTTATAAATATTCTTCACACAATGTCCACATATTTAGAATATTTTTTCAACTGAAATGTATACACTATTATTATTAATAATCTTCGACTATTAAAAATCTTGATTGACTGTCTTTCTCTTTCTGTGTGTGCGTGTGTATATGTGTACGCGCATGTATAATGTTCATTAATCATTAACTTCATAAAATTTACATTTCCTTTGCACGCAGCATTCTTATTGCATTTTACTAAAATTTATGAAATACAATTGAATTTATGAAGTACAATATAATATACATATACATATAATATACACATACACATAAAATATATATATATATATATATATATATATATATATAATATACATATACATCCATATTATGTATGTATATATATAATTTGTGCATAATAATTTACAAAATGTTATCCTAAAGTTTTTCAAATGTTTCAGAAAAAATTGTTTCACTCAAATAGTCCTAATTGAAATCTTTAAAGTAACTTTTTTAAGAGCATAAGAAGGAATTAATACATAATAATAAGAAATAAACAATAATGGAAGTAACCCTAATGTTTCTTCCATTATTGAAAGTAGTAAAAATTGTTTTGTGTCTTCATTAGTGTATTCATTATTCTTTGCCATTGAAAAAAATCGATCCTTTAGATTTCTTTTATCTATTACCGCGTCATATGTATTTTTAATTTCTAAAAACATCTTGTCTTCTTACTTGCCTGATTTAGACTGTTATGACTTTTTTCCCTTCTCTAATTGTAAGACAAAAATCAAATTAAAAGAAGAAGATTTATTGATATTGCAAAGGAGATTTAAACTATGAAAACACATTGATACGAAAGGATTTCTAGGACGGTTTCCGATCATGATAGAAACTTAATGAAATCATGTATATTCCTAACGGGATTATTTTAAAGATGACGATTAAGTTTCTAAGATGAGGCACCTTCTTCGTTCAGATATATACTTTTAAGTAACACGGTATATAGGAAAAAAATTGATTTATTTTAGGTTTATAAAAATGTAATAAAAATATATAGAAAATTTACTTCTGTATAGATACAAAATTAATATATTACTATGGTACTCTAATTCTCTTTTCATTCTCTCTCTCTCTCTCTCTCTCCCTCTCTCTCTCTCTCTCTCTCCCCCTCCTCTCCCCCCTCTATCTATCTATCTATCTAGCTATCTATCTCTCTATTTCTCTATTTCTATCTATCTATTTCTTCAAGCTTATATACTATATTTATTAAGAGTAAAAAAAAGAAGACTAAAAAAAGAGTAAAAATACATCATAATATTTTGTGACATTTTTTCAATAAAGTACATATCCACTATGTACGAGTATACGTCATCATAACGTCATGCGACCAGCTAACTTATACGTTGAATACCTACAGTGGCAAAACCGCGTAACGGTATTTCTTACGGAGCAGTTAACAAAAACATTTTACCTTTACCAGGTAGAAAATATTCTAATATCACAAAAGAGTTTCTGATATCACAATATTATATTAGTTTATTTATCCGAAATCGAATTTAAATAATGATTGCGACTTGTTATTATTTTTAATTTGAATTAAATGTTTATAATTGTTTTGACAATAAGTTAAAAACCGTAACATTAATTTGTTTAAACGTAAAGAAACATGTATGTTTCATAATATTCTAAAATTGGAAGTCATCAATATAGAATTACAGAAAATATTTTAAAAATCCGCTATTAACTTGAATGCACAAATTTGCACAATTTTGATTGTAATTTTCTAGAAAAGGCTCAAACATAATTTACTGTATATAAAATATATATATATATATATATATATATATTTATATACATATATATATATATATATATTCATATGTTTTAATTACTTATTTCATAATAATAGACTGAAAAGTAGATGAATAAATCTTTAATTTTTATAAAAGTATAAAAATTATGTTTGTAAGGAATATTCTTTTTTGTAAATTGTTCTGTCTTTCTCAATCTATATTAATTTATGAAAAAAATGTTATGAAGCAATGCTTATAAAAAAAATTATTAATGCAACACAATGTGACTGATATGTGTATGGGATGTGTTTATATCACATATATTATGTTACAAAATATTTGCAAATTTTTATTCGAATATCATCTTTTATCATCAAAGATGTATCGTCTTATTATTATCTCTGATATTAAAGACAATCAAGTCGGCAAGCGTTATTTTCATTTAA